TTACCGGCGAGCAGGGACTTTACCGAACCCCGAGCGCCGCCGCCGCCGCCGCTGGGCCTCCCCGCACCGCCGGCTCCCTCGGCCGCCGCCGTTGCCAGCCTCAAAGATGGCGCCCAGCAGGCGGCGCGCATCCCGGCCCGACACAAAGGTGGCGCTATTGTGACTTCATCCGGCGTCACAGAGCACATCCGGGGGGGAGGGGCGGCTTCCTCCGAGGGACGGGATTGGAGCGCCCGTAGTGCAGTGCGGGAGGGGAGGGAGGGGTGTGCTGGGAGGTGTAGTCCGCTCAGGGAGCTGGGCTCGGTGGAGCGTTGCATGCTGGGAATTGTAGGCGTAAAGGCTTAAAGGGCCAGTGTAAGCGCGCCTGTCAGGGGTGAGATGCAGTGTGGGCAGGGGTAGGGATAATGATGGTATTTTAAATACAGGAGGAATAATGATTTCTGGTTGTAAAATCATTTGGAGGAATTAGTCTGCATTGTATGCAATCACCTTGTATGTAAAAAAGATGTAAATAAGTCGTCGTGATCATGTTTTTCTTAAGTTTTGATGCAATGTACACGCTGTACAATTACATAGTCAGACTGTTATTAAATAGTATTCTTCTTGTCTGATGATTTTGGGTATCGATTTGTCAGTTGTTAATGTGATGAGAGTGTGTGCTTCTTGGGTGGTTATTCAGATGTACGATTTTGTGTTTCTATAAAAAAAAACATCGTAGTTGTAGGATAATTTCAACCCTTGCCTGATGTATGATCAATAATAGTAAAAGTGTTCAAAATCTACAATGGTTTTTGAGACACATAATTGATGCAGCATATGCAAACACAAGTCACTGCCAGGGGGTGTGTCTACGTGTGCCTTTATGCCAGCTTAAATTTACTGTGCGTTAAGTGGGAACAGACCAGCATCTACGTGTGCAGGCATTAAAGAGCATTAATGCTGCGTGTGACTAAAGTTAGTCCCAAGTCAGTCCACATACACAGTATTACTGCACTGTAGGGTGTCTACACATGCATTACTGCGCAGTAACTAATTGGGCATAAATTTGATACCTGCATGATGCAGGTATCAAATTTACACTCAAGTCAGCATAAGTCACCATATTTACTGCGCAGTACAGGCATGCATGTGTAGACACACATCTTTACTGTGCAGTAATTTTGATTACTGCACGGTAAATGCACATGTGTAGACATGCCCAGGGAGTCTTAACTGACTTTTGGGTTTGCTGTCAGGCACTTTCTTATGACCGCTTGCCTCCAAATAAAGAAATGCTTTGACTTCAATGACCCAGTTCTCACTCACTGGTGAGGTATAGTGAGCAATAGAAAGTCAGTACGAAGACATATTTGCAGACTTATTTGCAGACTTTTTCAGTGTACAATAGCTTTGAAGCAAATGCAATAACTTTGAGTTTCGAATGCAATAATTTCATATTTAAGACCTGGCAACGCTGGTGGGATGGGGCAAGTTGCAAGGAGAGGCACGGAGGGATTTTCAGCTGAGGTGTCTTAAGAGCCTGTCAGGGGTGCCCTGGGTGCTGTGCCACGTTAGCACTGGGAGGTGTGCAAACATGAGTCACAAAAGAAACCCAGAGATAGGAATCCACAGTGCTGACAGCACTTTGACCTGCTGCTGGTTACTGAGCTCTCTGCAACAGGGAAACCTGCTCTCCCAGTTTCCCCAGGGCCACAAACGGGTGAAAATTAAAAGCTGGCATTTTCCAAAGGAGGCTTGAGTGTCAAGAGTGGGGCCTTGAGGCTGGAAACCACTGGCCTAGGGAGAAATAGGTCTCGTGCTTGGTTTTTAGTTTGTTTTACTAATGGTATCCAGGTCGGTTCCCCAAACTCTGGGCAAAATCTTTGCTTTCTCCTGTGACAAGCCTGCTCTGTGCCCCTTGTGTCTAGTGATCCTTTCTAGGTCTAGCTACAGACGCTGTCATTTTCAACTTCTCTTTTGTTACAGTATGAGATGTGGTTTAGTTTGTGGGACATTAAGGGAAGATGATTAGGGGCAAGAGTTTGCATGGTATCTTTCATTGGAGCTGTGTGGTTGGGAGAGGTTTAGGGAACCTATCGGTAGCAGTACTCTTTTGGGTCTCAGTACTTTTCTGCAGCTCTCTGGGAGGGAGGCAGGCATAGCAGAGCTAAACTGATGATTATTGCCATATTATTATTGCCCTCTTAATTTAACCAATATATTAATATTGGTTATGATTTTCTGCTTTCTGGACAGAGTGCTGGGAGTGCATGATTGTGAACAGTGGTTGAAGCTCTTGGACTCTTAGCAAACACCAAGTGCCTTCTCCAAACCCCAATAACTGCCTCTCCCTTTTTTAAAGAACGTTCAAATGTTCCTTTTTGCTTCCCCTCAATGGCAAAGGAAAAAGAAAAACATGGCACCTGCTGTTTCAAGGCCACAAATCTAAGATGAGAGCCTTTTCTCTTCCCCTTTTCATAAAGAAAATAATCTGTTTTCAAAATGCATGCAAGAGTTCTTGGAAAATTCTTATTTTGCAAACAGATTCCTTTTACAAACCCACAGCGTCTTAAGGAAAACAGTTACAGCAAAGAAGTGTTTTTTTATTTCTCAAATATATAGAAAGGGAATAAGCTTTTTTTAGGCATTTATTTGTAAATGTTCTGTACTTTAAAGCAAGCTTCCTATGGCCCCCCACTGGTGTTATTACTATTTAAATAAGAGGTTCTCTCCAAAATTGAGGAAGGTCATTTGGCATTATCGCTGACAAATATACAAGAAGCTGCTCGAGTATAAAATATTTATAGTACTTGGGGAAGTATTTAGTTATCTAGAAATATTGAGGCAGCCTCTTTACCAAATGCAGACAGAAGCCAACTCTCCAAGGATTCCTAACGAGACTCAGTGCCTTTGCTGAGGACAAGTTAAGCAAAAGCTTCTCTTCAAAATAATCGTATAAGCTTAATAAGATTTTTATAAAGAAGTGAGCACGCTGGGACTTATTTGCAGTAGAATTCCACTTCCTAACAGAGGTGAAGACATTCAGAGAGTCCTCGGGGCAGGAATAAAGACCATTCCACCCTGTCTTGTCTGCATGAACAGACCACACAACCAGGAGCTGCAGATGCTATCAGGACCATCGCGTGAGCATCTGGAGCCAACAGAGGGTGACAGCAGGTAATATTTAATTCCAGCCATCCAGTAAGGATGTCTACATTGTAGAAGGCAGCATAGCGCAGACACCCAAAGCTTTAAACAATGGAACCAGGAGTAAGCCAGGCAGTGAATAAGGCTCATTAACCTTCCCTCAATGGGATGTTAGCTCATTTCATTTCACACTTTCGCTGCTGTCACCTTTACAGTAAAGGCCAGATGGGAAACGAGAATAAACGTGCAAGCTTATCTTGTGTAGGACAGCCATGTCCTTGAACATCCTGGGGCTCAGCCACACAAGAAGAAAAAAGGTAAGACTGACTAAATGCTAACGAGCATTCCCCACCCCGCCCCTCCTACAATCATAAGGTTACAAGGAACCTCAAGGTTCATTTGGTCCTTCCCCATGGACCCTCTCATACAGAAGTAAATTGGCCTTTGTAGGGCAGAGAAGCCCTACAGCTGCTGCGCTCCATGGTTTTGCTTGTTGTGCTCCGGCCACGGGGGCATCGGGCTCACTGAGTCTCCAAGCTACATCCCTGGCCCTCCCCATCTCACACACTTGTGGCTGAAGGCATGGACGACGTGGGGATTGCCCTGAGATTCAGTATCAAAAGCAATACACTCTGTGTATTCCTGCTTCTTAGCGTGAGCCCGCAAGATGCAAGATGCCCGCGCTCAGAAGCTTTCTCACTGCACGGCAGGTAAGGACAGCTTCAGAACAGAGAGCAAGAAAACAGGATGTTGCTCCAGCATCTCTGAAAGACGTTTCAGGTTTCACCTCCAAGAACATGCTTTGCTTTGTGGCTCATGCTTTTATCTGACACATCCTCCTAAAAGTTCCCCACCTGGCCTGTGCCCTGCAGTGGGATAGCTCCTCAGATCCCTATGCAGGGTAGACCTGCCCAGCCCTCCTGCCAGGCAGTTTTGGCTGCAACTGCAGCTGCCATACTTAGCAACACAAAGGAACACATGGACCAGCTCCAACCAGAGGGCACTGCTGACCCTACAGGTCTTGAAGGGGGTCTTCAAGAGGAGGTTAGATAGGCATCTAGCTGGGGTCATCTAAACCCAGCACTCTTTCCTGCCTATGCAGGGGGTCGGACTCGATGATCTATTGAGGTCCCTTCCGACCCTAACATCTATGAATCTACAGGGACTCCTAGTAGCTAGAGCCACAGCTACCGGAGTGCTGGTGTCACAGCAGTCAGACAGAAAAAGAAGAGAAGGAGAACAAAAGTGGAGAAAGAGGAGGATGAAGGAAAAGAAGAAAGTCAGGAGGACTCAGGGGTGAAGTAGGAGGAGACATGGGAGGTGCTGGATATAATGGGCACCTTTTCTCATTGAGCCAGGGTCCCCTTCTTATACAATCTCACCCCAAGCCATTCCCCCTGGTAGGAAGGAAGTGCCATACAAGCAACAAGGGTTTGCTCTGCATGTGTGAAGGGTAGATACAGCTATTTCAACAGTTAAACCCAAACTGCTGAGCAGTGATTCAAACCTCCAGTGCCACACAGCAAAAAGGACAAGCCCAGGGATCCCTCCTCTCCTCAGCTGGCTTCTCTGCTCCCTTCTCCACTGCCCTACATTGGTTTCAATGGCTTTTTGATTCTTTCTTTACTTCCCTGTCATTCACATCCCTGACTGTGCCCCCCTTACTTTTGCTTGGCACCATTCATTTTATCCTCCTCTCTCTCCCTCTCACACATTTTCCCCAGACTGCATCATCAGGGGAACATTCGGTGCATCTTTTCCTTCAATTCAAGGAAGCAGGAGGAACCTTGCTACTTCATACCTAGGCCAGTAGCCATAGTC